CCTCTTCCAGGCCAAGCTGCAGGACCTTCCGACCCAGTATTTCCGAATGTGGCCCATTGTTACTGAATTCTGTGATCCAGTATTAAAATACTACTGTCTCAGTCTCTGCCTTGGCAAACCTACCCAGATCACCCGACTGAACCTACAGGTGAGAGAGCCCGCAGAAAGTTGTTCCCATTCCACCTCAGGATCGCCATCTCCACAGTCATCCATAGTAGCAAACTAAATCATAAATAGTCTTGTTCGCTTCTTGATAATGAGACGTACCACGGAGGGATGAGTTTGGCGCAGCGCCGGCTCATTTCTTATTTTTTCCTTTCGGCAAGCGGCGAGACTACATCATATTGTTCATATCAGTCCTCTTTTACCAACTGTTGCCGCTTACCCGTCAACATCAGGAAGGAGAACAGGCCGGCGGCGCGCCAAACCCAGCCTCATGGCACGTCCCGTAATTCGCAGGGAACGATACTGTAACTCCAATTGGAAAGCAGTGCTCGTTGTGGAACCTTTAGAAGTGTGAGGAGTTTGCATCGGTTGGTGCCTGCCCACCTCTCTTCCTCAATGGGTATTTTATGATCTGATAAACTGGAGGCCTACTAGGTTGTACGTCCTGAGTGTAGATCGTCTCCTAGCCCTGTCTTGGAGGAAGTAGTGCTGATACTGACTGTTCCTACGTTCTGATGGAGTACTGCATTGGAACGTAACAGCTTCGACCCTGATTGAAATGAAAAATTGAAAAAAAATTCCTATCACTTGAAAGTCACGTGAAGATGATGAATGAGGTGTGGCGGCTGGGAGTGGCATCCTGCCAATCATCTGGCCTGAGTTCTGTACCAAATCCTCCTAAAGTCGACCAATTGGGATGGCACCTCTTTCACGACAGGTCCATTTCCTGCTCCTAGTTAACAGCTGCGTTACTTCTGAAGTTATACATCCCTTAAAGAAAAACTCCGTAATTGTTTGTGGATAGTGGCGTTCGACTGCGAACCTATAGTCACTAAATGATTCTCTAGGGGCGAGAAAAGGAGAAAAAAATTCAGAAACACCTATGCAAGCCCTGGGTAGCTTCTATAGGAAATTGTCCCCGACCTGCCTCGCTTCTTGCCCAGCAAGGGATCCTTTCGCCTCTGGCCCACTAGTCGTTTTTTTGCTCATCCAAGCGCTGAAAAAAAAAACGAAATTACGGTATAAAACCTGAGCTCATGAGAGGAAATAGCCTTCGGTATAATGATGAATAGCCTTCGAGTTTTGGTGGGCTGGGCGACTTAAGAAGGCGTCAGAAGTCATACGATGGCCACAGCGCCTTTGTCACTTACTGTGAAGCCGCAAAAAAGGGATAATTCCGAAGACTGAGGGCCAGAATATGTGTACAAGGAAGGACCCCTGCGAGCTGCTAGAGCGCGGGGACTGCCTTTAAGTGGTGAAACAGTTCGTGTTTCCGGGTCACTAGACTCCTACCTGCCTGGTTCATGATGCGTCAGTGGCCGCATTAGCCTTATCTCCGTACGATCTGCACTCATCTAAAAATGGATATCGCCAGCTGAATTTGCAATTATATAACACAGTCGGGAGTATAGTCCAATGCGTGAGGGTTTTTTGTAACATTAAGGGAAAGTACGATAACCTACTTCTATTTATCTTCGAATTCTTAACATTGACACGGGGGGTAACGTGCTCGACCCAATTAGAGAACTGATGACCGAGATCGGGAATGGGAAACCCCGAGCGATAATACCGACTTGAGTGTAACCAGAAAAAAAACTGTCAAATGAGGAATTGTTTCAGTAAGCATCGAATGTGAGGGATGTAACTCTTCGACCTCTCATTGCGTGCCGACAGCTGGAGGAAATGTGGTCTGCGCCTGCTTACCCGGTTACGAGGACTTGAACCCGATCAATCCGGGTCAAAATTGCTCGAAGCTTACACGTGGGTTTAATTTTCCGTCAAACTTTCCCCAAAAGGTCATTTGGAAGTGTTGAGCTGTTAGCGCGATGGGGGGAAGATCGACCGTCGACGAGGGTGCGCGGGCGAGAACATCCCGCTTCGGGGGCCCGCCCCCGTTCATTCCACTCGTCCACGCGAGTTCAGCTGCTGAATCTCGCGTATGATTCGCCTCTACATTGGGGCCTTGGTCCTGGGGACGGTCTTTTCCGCAGGTGAGTAAACTCATACCTCATTCAGATTCATCGACACCATCATGTCATGCTTGCCAACACGGTAGGTGTGGCAGTCTTTAACTTGAGCTTATATGCTTATTTCCAACCATTTTTGGTTTTAATCAGCTTTTTGGCCTTCTTCTATGTTTTCTGTTCAAGTTTAACGGGCCCCCAGTTAGTTGGTCAAGTTGACTGAGCTTGAGAACTAGTTCAATTATCCTGAAGAGGGTGATAATGGCTTCGCTGAACAACGAGCTAACAAGGCATGGTGGACAGTTTGCATTGCGAATCGGCTAATTGTGAGCAAAGACTGTCGGAAGACCTCCGATGGCGACCTCCATGAGGTTTTTGACGACCTCAAATAGACAACTATCGGGCTCTATAAGTGCATGGCTTTTTATTGTAAACGACCTTTGCTTGTACTTGGTTTGCTGAACTAAAGAAGTCTGATCGCAACTTGACCCTGACCCTATATTTTCAGGATCAAACCCCTGCCAGGACTATTCACTTCACGACTGCGATTCAGTAGCTGAATGCTATTCAGAACAACCCGGCTACTTCCAATGCCGTTGTCCAAAAGGATTTATCGATGTTTCACCTGACAAACGAAATCCTGGACGAAAATGTGTCAGAGGTAAATGAATGGATCATTTGCTAATATCCTATTTTGGTTCAAGAGGAGGGGCATTTAAAGGCCTTGCTGTGCAAAACTGGGATACACGTAAAGGAGATGAGGATTTTCGTCTGGCAGAGAGGACGAAATCGGCGTGGTTGAGCCGATTTTCTTGTACAGGACTGGGTTTCACACAGGGTACAGCATCGTTGTGTGAAACACATACAGGGAGAGGGGGGGGGGTTTGCTACATTAGGGAAAGTTTTTCCCTACTGTTGACTTTTCGCGGTCCTTCCCGTTTCACTGGTGCTATACACCCCTCCCTCCCCGTCCGATTGACGAATTGGGGCGGAAGTAGCAATTTTCGTGGAAAATTCCGAGAGAGCTGGCAGGGAGCTGGCATGTGGGAAAGTGGGAGGTAAGGCTGGGGGAAGAGGAGGGGGTATTCATACGCGAGAACCACCTTCCAGTGGGGGGGGGATTGTACTGACACCACCATCTCACACATCAGGAATGCTCTACCCTGGTTTCACAATACAGTAATCTCAGTTTTGCTCCTCAAGGACTTCTTTAAATGCCCGCCCCCGCATGAAATTGTCTTTTTGTTTTTTTTTCCTTCAGTTTTCCTTGAATTTGTTATTGTTAATGAATTATTGATCTTTCACTTTTACCTTTTAATGCTAATCTTGATTTCCTTTTACTCGTATTCATTACTTTACGTGAGCTGTTCCGCCTGTTTCTCAGGGCAAAAACCCGGAAAAAACCGACCACCTTTGGCCTTGAGTTGGCCGACTGATGGCGAACTTTTCGCAATATTTCATCTTTGCTGTTTGCCTTCTTTTCTTTTTTCCTCAATCTCATTTCCTTTGATATCTTCGTCGCCTGGTTTCACCTACTTTTTCGATCTGGTCGAATCTATCATTTCAGTGTTGGATTTCCTCCAACAAATCACTAGCGCCACTTTAAGGTCAAGGTAACCTCTTCACAACGCCCCGTCGTCCTTAGAAAACGAAACCGACTTTTGTATTTTTTGGGGGACCTATTAGAGAGGAATTTCCAACATTTGAGTGCATCGGAAAGGATTATTATGGGGAACCTTTCCTAAAATAGTTTGATATGGCCATTTGTACAGTTAATTTCGTCGCCCAGTCACTTCTGTATGGGTCAAACCCCTCTTTAAAAGTTGTCTGGGCTGAGATAATCCCCTGCAAGGTAGGTTTTTATGGATTTCACTTTTCCGCTGAAAACATCCTCGGTCTTAAATCGATTTCGGGGATCGGTACCGTCAGATGTCACATTATAGTGGTGGTCGTCTCGCTTACGAACCGGTCATTGGATTTCTCTTCTGACAATGAGGGCAAGAGCTCCGCCAAGAAAGGGCCAGAAAATGTTTGGGAGCAGCCAAGCATGTATTAACATCCTCTTTGGTCTAGTATTTTGTCCTCCAAATGATTCACTGGTCCAGAAGGCGTTTCGGTATTCCATGAGCTTATTATTAGTTACTTCTCACAGCGACCACTCACAGAACCGTGGCGCTCGAGTTGATGTGACCTCAGCCAATCGCATTTCACCTTGAAACTCGCATTGAGTAAATAATTGTATTGCGGTCGGTTGATTGGATTCGTTTCGTATGCGCGATGATTCGCCGAGAGGAATTCATGATCACCTCGGTGGGGCTCGCGGGAACAAGGGGCAGCCGCCAGTGAAAGACGGTCTCTTTACTAGGTCGGAATGCGATAATTGCTAATTAGAACAGGCAGACGATCTGAATTGATTTGATTAGGGTTAGGTGCTAAAGTGAACCCTTTTATCTAAATCACGATCTCTTTTAGTGGTGGACGAGTGTTCTCTGGGCACCCATACCTGTGACCCGAATGCAGACTGTGTGGACACACCAGAAGGTTACACCTGCCGATGTAAAGCCGGATGGAAGGATTCCAGTCGGGACCCTCTCCGAAATCCCGGACGAGTCTGCAGAAAAGGTACAGTTTCCTTTTGATTTCAACATTTTTCATTATTCATGTATCCATTGTCGTCATTCTGTCCCATCAGCGCTTCCCATAAAGAATAGTGGCCCGCCCTCCTAACGACTCCAATAGGACTTAGGCGCTAATGGCATAAGGCTGAATCCGGCTTTTTCGTTAGCTGTTTTCGTGAAGGGAAATGGTGCATGAGATGATGCTCTTCGTCGTCGAAATCCCCGTCGCCGTCGCGTGCCTCCTCGTCCGTCAGAGGTAGCATCTTGGACCGGTTTCTCCACACCCTCCGTCTTGGTGAATTTACGTTTTCTCAATGCTTTTTACGCCGTCCATGTCACCACCACAACCCCACCCCAACCCCCTGTTGTGCCGAGGGAGGAAGATGAGATGAGGGGTAATCAAAAATCACCGGATCCAGCATCCGTGTCTAACCGTAACGGAACTGAAGTCCGGAACAAAAATAAGATTTTTGCTTTTTTTGATTTCTTATGGCCTCCAATTTCAACAAAGCAATTTTCTGAAATGGTTTTGGACAAAACTATAGGTTTGAAGGCAGCTGGCACGATAAACCTTTAAGACGAGTAGGATTGATACGCCTGGCAGGACGGAATTCCGCGACCCTGAGCAGGCGCTGCGTAGCGCCTTTCCCAAGGAAGGTACCCTTATAAGGGCCCTATCAAGCTACAACATACCGACCCGAACGCCCACCACGCCCGCCCCCACAAATATCCGATCAATGCCTCACGCTCGTATCGCTTCATTTGCGAAGTACAATATGAAGCGAAGGGATTGATATGAAGCGGCTGCGGTGCTGCATGGATATATGAGTACATACGTGCAGCCGTATCTACCGTAGCGATTATTGGCACGATGCCAACGGAAACTCGTCCGAAATTGCTTTCTGAGTCGTGTAGAACAAAGGCTTTTTAGTGGGTTTCTGAGCGTTTACTTCGCTTTTTCGCCATTTTTCCGACTTCATAGCATCCCTGCTATCATTCTGGACCGAGTACCAAATTTTTGTGCCTTATGCCTTCATATTGAAACCCTTTGTTCGGTAAACAGTTGAGAGGGACGAGATTACAAACCCTTACTCCACCGAATGTATAGGTTACCTCCTCACTGATTTTATGGAAGACAAATCGATCAAGGTTAATGGACCTCTGTGACATCTAAATTCCTGAGTTTCATTGCTATCAGATTTCTGAAAATGTGGGAAATTATGGCAGAATGTAAGATGGAGAGGGGTAAGGGGGTGGGGGGGTGGAATGCAGATTCCGCAACATTTTTAATAGACAGCCAAGTCGCTATCAACTAACTCCAAGACGATGCGGGGGCTCAGTCGATCTCTTCGGATGTGGCTTGGGGGGGGTGAAAATTTTCGTTTCAGTGGAAATACATCGTACCATCTCTCCGTGAGTATCAAAAATGACACCCTCAGTAAGATCCTCAAGTGAGAACTCTAAAACGAAAAAATCAAACGCAAAGGAAAGAAGTTCGTCAGGCTAAATTGACTTTCTCTCATTAGCAGTTAGGAGGTCCAAAGTTTACGTGCGCGTCGAGCGGAGCGGGAGATATATGAGTATTGAAAGGAATACTAGATAGTCCAAACAAATAAAATGTTCGAACGCAGTGCAACCATTGTCTTCCAGCGACAATACGACAGCCTCCAGTGATTTAACGTGCGAGCGTGCCTATTACTGATCCCCTCTTCCGTCAGAGAATCGGTCAGGGTTTGTTGCGCCTAGCGTACCTATGCTTAAGGGATTTGTTTTTGGGCAACGCTAACTTACCTGCACTCAGGGTAAAGCGAGTATGGTGGAGTTTGGGTGTTTCGGCTGAGCTCAATAATTCATGATTCACGAGAGCCATTCGATCAAATCAGGCAGTTTTCAACCCACTATGCTTCGTTTAAGGACGCTCCCCCAGCAGGCCTTCGGGGATAGGTATTAGATCGATACCCGTGTTATCTGTAGATATGAAGTTAATACTGGCCGATGAAAGGAATGGTCAAACTCATGAAGAATGTCAAGGTCTAATTGTTGTCTTCATAAGGGCAATTTGTTTTCGAACTTGCTCGGTTGTAAGAGTTTTGAATAATTTCACGCTCAATGAGCTAGCCTTCAGAGGAAAAGCCATTCATCTGGTCCCAGCAATTAGCCATTTTTCCAAGTTGCCACGTGGTGCCAGAGCGTAGGCTTGTCGTGAGCAATCCATATCAAGGGTTTTTCAGCGTGTTTTTGCAATGATCACCTTGGGTACAGCATGCGTTGGGGATCCAATGGGAGGGGGTCTCATTTGCATTCTGAGGGACATTTTGCGGCGTTTGGAAAAGGTTTTCCCGATTGTTGACTTTTTGTGATTATTCGTGCTTCACATGTGCTATGTACCCCTCGCTCGACAGCGAAATTTCGGAGAGAAAGTAGGAACATTCTTGGGAAGTCCCGGAAAAATCGGTTGGAAAAATCTGGCAGAGTGGTAGTGGGATGGGGATTTCCCCGCTTTTTTTCTTCGTTTTTTTCGTTTTTTTGCCCCTGCCCCCTGCTGGGCAGGTCGATCGTAGAGGAGAGAACCAGGGGGTTGTCGTATCAAGCCACCCCACCACCTAGGGGAGGGGTCCTGGGGGCTCGACCGAAATCCCCGTTCAATGACCAGTGATGTGCCCTGCGATCACCTCCGACTACCTAAAACCACTTTTAGCGACCTAACCAGCAAAACAATGGCCGGATATCGTAGCTCGTTTTCTGGTCAACTGACGATTTGGTTTACGACCTTGTGCGTTGTGGGTTAAGTTGCCTAACTATGCCTCGACGACAGCTGTCATTTCACGGCTGGCTAAGAGCGTAACGTGGAAACCAGCGCTAAATTCCCCGCATTTGGTGACTTTCCTAGAGATTGTGGCAGAAATGGGAAAAGGCTCATAGCGTGATTGTGCGATAATTCTCTACTGGACCAAACCACCACAGGATGGCCACGCTTTATATCCTTTAAAATCGGAAAATTACTGCTGATTCGAGTACCTGTTGATGCAGTATTATCGTTCTAACCTGGCCTGTCCCGTAAACCACTACATTTCTGAATTGAAAGATGAGTGGCGTATCAAAAAGAATAATCAGTGGGCAATTCATACAGACCACGTCCTACGTCGAGGAATGCCAGTATAACTTCGTATTCGCCTTTGCGAGTTGTTTTTATGCTTCACGCGACCTTTCTCTCACGACTCTGTATACACGAGGATAGGTTTGTATTGCATCAGGGCACAGCCTCGAATGATCCCCTATGGACGTATTGAGTTAGCAAAAAGTATTTTTGTCGTTGACTTTTCTCGGGGGCATTGCCGAACGTTGCGCCGCGACGATTACTCGCAGCCACTAACAATACCCCCTGAAAAAAATGCGGTTTGTAAAAGCTCGACCACAATCCCACATCGAATGCTGTTACCTGTATTCATGTTGATGGGAGAAGATAGCTGGTGGATCCGTACCGCGAAGCAAAATTGCGGCGTGCGGAAAAAATTTTTCCGCTTGTGGGTTGTCACTTTTCCCTTCACGCCGAAAATAAACGGAAATATGTGCAGGAAGCGGGAAAATTTAGAAGTGTTAGCGGCGAAAGGAAGGCGGCGAGATATCCGTCAGAGGAAGGATTGGTGAGCTCTCACTCTCGCTACTGTCACTAGCGGCCAGGCTCCCAGATTTACACTTGTCTACCACCCTAGCAGAATTGGCGTTCTTAGTAGCAGTTCCACAGCAGTTAAGTTTCTGTGAAGAAATTTAAAATTTCCAAAACCTATTTCTTAAGCACGGTCCGCACATCAGGTAATCGAAAGCCGGAAAATCATGGCATCAGAGAGGTCCGCGGCACGAACAAACCTCTGTACGTTTCGCGGCAAAAAAATTCTAATGGCGAGGACCTATACGCAACATAGGATTCTCAAGCTCCTCCTTTTTTCCAGTGACTCCGCCTCCAGACTCCGCCCCTAATGGCCGACTTCCAGTGAAAAATGAGATCGCAGAACGAAAAAGCATGATATTCGGGCCGCCTTTTCTACGATCGTAGAATCTTCATCGGAATTCACTGTGGTATGAGGCGTAGTGTGGGAGATGAATTATTAGGCACGTACAAACTGGATCAAAATGCGGGTTCTATCTGAGGCAGGTAGCATGTTTCTTGTTTTTTTCTTCACTGTCGAAGTCACTCAACTCCTTTTCGTCTAATGGAACCCCCTGATCCACTATCTGAGATGGCGAATAATCGCGGGTTCTGCCTTTAAATGGTGAGATTTCGTGCTCCCTCATAGTGACTTTGTAAATCTGGTAGCTGTCACCAAGGAGGTACAGGATACATAATGATGTGGCTGACTTGGGAATAGGCCACGTATTCACCTTCGTTTTAGAGACTAACAACCCTTGAATGCGTGCTTGAATGTGCCTTAATATGATTATTTTGAGGATCGAGAACTAGTGCTTATCTGGGCTGATTGCTTCCATGGGATTCGAGGCAACGCCTTTGGTCCCTCCACCCTTTCAACTGCTGCTCAGAAAGCATCAGTTATCAGTACCTAGACCTTCCTCATAGCAGTGAAGTTGGTAAGTGGAATTTGAGGGCGAAATCGCCTGGGAACTAACGATCGATAATGGGAGATTGTTCGAAAGTTGTTTTTCTTAATACGGAGATTTTGAGGTCTTCGCTGAATTGATGGCTGCCGCCGCTGTGGTATGTGCACGGGGAACACCATGAAAGATTTAATTGTCGACGATTTACGCGACTTTGGGCGTCTGGGATTAGCCATGGTGATCGTTGAAAACCGCTTTGAAGAAAGCGTCGAGGACGTGGGCGATGAGGATCCGAGACCAGTTGAGGTCTATGGTGTCATCTGAGAAATTCACATCCCCCGGGAAAAACTGATCGGGCGCGAAAGCTTTCAAAAGAATGCTGTCATTCGGTCCAATCCTGCAGAGGAAGGGATCACTATCGCGCGGAGGGGTGCCGACGAGCAGTAGCAGGTGGGCGTTGTCACGTGCAGGGCCTAAGGTGGTTCGTGCCAAAGGAGTGATATTCGAGTTCCGAGGGTCGAACTACTCCTAAGGATTGCTCTCCAGACGGATTGAAGTTCTGCCTCAAAGTTCGAAAACTAGGGCAGGAAAGGGTAAATCGTGCCGAGGATGTGCTGAGAGTACAAAGTCGCGAAAACATTTTGACAGCTCCGTCGACTTCGAAAGGCACGGGGAGATGTGGCCACCTATTCAGTAATGGACAGCACGCTTTTGTATGTGGATATTGACAGGATCATTTCTGCGAAATTTGTTCTCAGGGGCGCGTCCACGACTTATAATTAGTACGTACAGTAGGAATTAAGTAGATGCTAGTGACTATATGTAGAGTACAAAGATAAAGACTTGTCAGAGAGATTACCGGCGCAATTACGCGCAGATAAGATGAAAGGAGCCTAGCAACGCAAGAAAAGCTCATTGGAGCGAGGCATAAGGTTTCCTAGAAAGGCTCATCGAAAACTGAACAATCTAACCTTTGTGGCAAGTTCCAAGCTAAGCTGGCTGAGGCTCAGAGATTGCGCCGTTAAGTATGATATAAGTGCAGCGAATGGGGTTGAGACCCGGGAAGTGTACTGAACGTAACACAGCAGGCGACGGCGTTAAGCACGGCAAGTTCTGCCAAGTGATAGCACGAGTGGAACGGCTGAAGTAGCTAATACGGCCCACGATCTCACTCGTTTAAAGACACAGTAGTAACGCTCACGTGAGCCACTATTGAGCGGCGTATAAGTCTAGTCAGCCCCCCAGCTTGTCGATAGTTATCGTAATGCCGCTCGCGCCAAGACATGCCCAGGAATGGAGATACAGGTACGGTGAAACGTACGCTTACATCTCCACATCGCAAACTCGCTCAGGTGACTCCGCCTTACAACCGCTTTTTTGCGGGCGCAGATTCCCGTCCTTGAGATGAATCCGTCGTAAGGGGCGCGGCGTGTCGGAGTGCGCTCCTTGCACTTTGCCCAGTCCTTTAATTGCGCTTTGTCAAATATGCTAAGATACAAGTACACACCGGGTTTCCCGCAGCCGATGCGGAGTACACTATGTGATGATAAAATGTCTTATCAGGTGTTGCGGTCAACCGTGAAAATTCACAGCTAAGATGCATGCTTTACGTAGGCGGTCAGTCAACTTAAAAAGGCAACTGTGGCCTTCTGCAAGCATCCCCTCGCATCTGAGGCTGCATAATTTCGGCGACGAAAACAGTGAAAATAAAACGGCCATCACTCGTTAGTTGAATGCAAACAAAACGCAATTTCCGTGATGGTTTCCGCCGGCCAGCTCTTCGTCTTGGCCTCCCTTGCCGCCCGAGGAGCCCCCATAAACTTACATTTCTCGCTGAGCCACAAGAAAAGCCTGTTTTTGAGCAACTCCGACTGCTTTCTTCCCTTGAACTCACGAGCGAGTCAACTAACAACGTTCACTTCATTTTCTAACCCCGATAACTACTTCCCGCTGGCTCATTGCGAATTCTGCCTTCAAGGCTTACGATTTCAGCACGAAACCCCTCGGAATGGAGTCAAAAGCTACACTTACTTTGAAGAAAGGAGAGTTAGGAATGAGTTCTGACGGTTAATGAGTGAAAGCAAAATACGTGCCGTGTACTACAGACTACCCTTTCCGGAGTACATCGCACATTCAGCTTCAGACACACAGCTCCATTCAGAATCGTAGTAATTCGCAAGTACTACGGTGTATGCAGACTGTGATGGTCCTCTTTCAGTCTAGTGCCAATTGGCTGACTCCCTAAGAATGATATCCACGGGTTTCCCCTTCATGAGGCTGGTTTACGATATTTCCAGCATTAAAGGCATATGGCACGAAAATTTGGTACTCGGTCTAAAATGGTAGCAAATGCTATAGTGAGAAAATGGTAAAGAAGCGAAGTGAAGTGGTTAAAAACCTGCAAAAAGTCTTCGTCCTACACGACTCAGAAAGCGATTTCGGACGAGTTTCCCGTTGGCATCGTGCCAATAACCGCTACGGTAGATACGGCTGCATGTGTGTGCTTATATATCCATGCAGCACCGCGGCCGCTTCATATCAATCCCTTCGCCTCATATTGTACTTCGCAAGTGAAGCGATACGAGCATCAGATCTGGTCGGGCGATTGTGTTCAGCAGGGCGCGGTGGGCGTCTGGGTCGGTATATTGAAGCTTGATAGGGCGCTATAAGGGTACCTTCATTGGAAAAGGCGCTTCGCAGCGCCTGCTCAGAGGTGCCGAATCTGTCCTGCTAAGCGTATTGATCCTACACGTCTTGGGGATTTATCATGCTTCTTGCCTTTGAGCCGCATAGGGAAGGAGACGCCTCTGATACAAAATTGCAGCAAACTTTGTGCTCTCAACCCAACTGCTGTCATAACCGTGCAGTAGTCAGATGACGATATCCGGCTGTTGAATTTCTGGTATTCAGGACCCATCCCCCCTTCCTTCTTCTTCGAAGGACCACACATTGGGAACATTAAACGAGCGCTTGTTTTCTTTTGCTGTTAAGACTACCATCCTTCACCTTAAGCGAATCTCAGAAACCAGATTGTTCAACGAGACGGAATTCCATTAAAGATGTGTCAAGCAATTACTTTTTCTGCTACACTGTCTTTAAATGAAATGTGATTGTAGCCGACGTTTGTGCGAACATGGACTGCGCTGCAGAAGCGGAATGTCGGGAGACACCCATGGGACCAATGTGTCAATGTATGAGTGGTTTTGTCGACATCTCCAGACAACATGGTCGACCGGCAGGTAGAATTTGCCGTCCTGTCGTCAACGAATGTGCAGAAGGCAAGCATGACTGCTCACGCCATGCCGCCTGTATCGACACTGCAGATGGCTTCACATGTAGATGTCACGACAACTATCGTGATGAGAGTCCGTCACCATCAACGAACCCGGGCAGGGTCTGTATCCGAGGCAAGAATTCCACGCATTTTCTTCCAGTACTCGTAGTCACTTATAGATCTCGTTATAGCTTTCGTACCAGATCCACCAGAATGTGATGTGAGCGATCCCATGAGCTGTGATCAGCACAAATCTGAGGTCAGTGAATCCAACCTTTCATAGAATTTCAATAAAATGTTGAGAGTTACATCTCGTGACATAGATGATTTTAGGAATGCTTGTGTATCCCTAAACAGTAAGGTAGCGTTCATACTTTTCGGCAGCGTCTGCCAGCGTCTACTAGCGTTCCGAGCGTCCGGCAGCGTCAGCGACTAGGAAAGTATAGATATCGATCTAGCGTCTGCCAGCGTCTCGAGGGCTAGGGAAGTATAGGTATCGATCTAGCGTCCACCAGCGTTCACCAGCGACCGGGAGTAGAGAGTATGGGGAAGTAGGAGGGTAGCAAACAGCTGGATTAGGCGTCGTGAAATTGGCGTGTGCAACGCACTACACAGGCTTAAAGTGCACAGGAATTTATGTCTAATTTTAATTGTGCGCATGTGGTTAGTTGTACGACATGCCGTGGATTGCACACGCGCCATTTTCACGGACGCCTTTAATCACTGCTTGCTTACTCTCCTACTTTCGCCACACTCTCTACTCCCATTCGCTGTCTTTGTGAAAACGCTGGTTGACGCTGGTCGACTGCTGGATCGACACCTATTTACGTCCCTTAGCCATCGACAGGTGAGTGGTGGTGCTACAGACGCTGGTAGACGATGGCAGGCGCAGGCATAGATCAATATCTATACGTTCCTAGTCGCTGACGCTGCCGGACGCTGGAACGCTAGTGGTCGCTGGGGGGCGCTGCCGCAAAGTATGAGCACAGCCTAAGATTCGCAGCGCGGTATTTAGGAATGGGTCAAAACCTTTGTTCTGAATTCGACAGAAGCGTGGGACCAAGGATCCGAGCCACAGTTCTGTAGTAACGATGAAGAAGGGCGAAATGCAAAGCGTTGATCGACTAATTTAGGAGGCGCCACGCACTCGAGCTCTTCCAGAAACTCTCACTATAATTGAATCCGTGTTAGGCATATGCCATACAAATACTTGCCGAGGTCAACCAGTCCCATGCTTCCTTCAAAATGACATTATTTCAGGTTTGTGTGTTCGTGCATGGCACGTACAAATGCCGTTGTGCTGGTGGCTATTCTCGCTTGCCCGATGGCCGATGTCTGGCCATCAACGAATGCGAACATCAACGTCTGAACACCTGTGGACAAAATGCGGAATGCATCGATTTGGTAAATGCTTCAGGCTCTCCCACCTGTTCGTCTCTTGATGAAAAAAATTTCCAGGCCGAGGGTTATACCTGTCAATGCCGCTCGGGATTCGCCGACGTTTCTCCTCCAGGACAACCTGGTCGACTGTGCAAGGCTCGCATCAATGAGTGTTCTAATAAGTTCGTAGACGCTGCTCCGTAGGTGCCAACCAGAGCCTCACTCTACTTTTTTAGGGAGAAATACCGCGTCGACTGTGACGAGAACGCGATCTGTGTTGACACCGACGACTCGTTCACATGCCAGTGCCGTCCAGGATTCGCCGACATCTCAGCTTCGTTCAACCGATTACCGGGTATGTCTCTCTCTTTGGAAAGTCACACCAAAGATACAGTATCACCCTGATGATTGCAGGCCGACGCTGTATCGAGGCGGTCAACGAATGCTCTATTAAAGGCATGAACGACTGCTCCGAATTCGCGCTCTGCGAAGACGCCAAGGTCAGTGCAGCTGTAGCGAGGACACAGCCTAGCAGGAACTTGACAGCGCAACTTTTCAGGAGGGTTATGTGTGCTCATGTCGTACTGGCTACGTGGATGCATCACCGAACGCGACTCATTACCCGGGCCGGGTTTGTCGTAAACCCATTGAGAGATTGACGGTGACAGAGTTCACAAGCTCTTTCTCACATGACTCCTGCGATCCAAAGGTGAGTTCAGACTGAAGAGATGGGTTCATTCTCACTAAATAGTTCTGTCTATAGAAGCCGCACTGTGGAACGAATGAGATCTGCACTGATCGAGGTCAACGAGGGCATCACTCCTGCCAATGTGCGGACAATGCGTTCCGATACGAGGACGGCACCTGCCGAGGTGGGTCGATTTTTTGAAAATCCTGCAAATATCTCTGTCACAACGAAACTCGAGAGAAGAAATCAAGAGTGAGCTAGATAGCCTGGGCACGGCTCAGTTCCAGAGAGGATGAATGTCCAGCAATCGCTTTGTACCGTTATCTAGTTGGTAAGCGCTCCCCAAAGCGCCGTGAACCTTGAATACAAAGTGCATGCATGAATTGATGAGTTTTCCTTTGAATCGTGCGTTTTCGTTTTGCAGCCACACGACTAAATTGTGGGGTACCTGCATGGTGACCTTTGAAGGTCAGAACCCCTCCATCTCATGATTCCATCCACAAAACGAGCCTTATCCCTATTGACTGACCACACGGGTTGCGTGTCCTTCTGCGTTTCGTGGTCTGACTTGAAAATCGCACTTTTCGGAGGGGTTGTGGAAACCAGGCTTTGCTGACTAAGAAGATAACTACCTGCGGAGATCTTGCTATTATCTCTGCTCAAACAGCGTGTCTTTTGGAAAGAAAGTGGCTGGGTTTAACGCGCCAGCACGCGCTTTACGCGCTGCATCTGTTTATCTGCGCCCTCTCACTGAGCAGAAAAATGCGACAGCTGCACGACATCCCTTTCATCCTACTACATATAAATGGTAAGGTCTGTTTGCCTGTTTGTCTGTTTCTCTGTCTGTCCAGAAATTCGGCATCACCTGAACAGCACTTGGGGGGCGGGTCAAGGTGGGATGAGCTACGGCATGCGCCCAGGAAGTACGAACACCATGAACTGAGGTAAGCTCGGCCCACTGTGGGCGGGGCGTGCGCACAGCAGTTGTGAGCTACATTTTTCAAAAATTCGTAAATCGGTTCCAAAAGAGCCCGGAGAGTGAAAAATGTGGCAAATGATAGGCAATCAGTTGGCGGACGAAATGAGTGACGCATATCCGTGACGAGAGGGCCGTTTCGCGCGGAGTGTACGGACAAAAACTCCCTCGAAATCGCAGGCCTGAAAAAAAAAGACCCCACTAACTGGGAATAAGTGAATTTGGGTAATCGGTTTGGCAATGAAGTTAGTGAGGGATAACCGCTAGGACACATCCATGTTGGTAACCGTCGGCAATAAGTTTCTTCTACGATGCTACATCACTAAAGGGGAGTGGCCGTATAAGAAAATCTGATGACTATCTTCGCAAGGGGGGGGGGGGGGTAAAAGTGGCGATAATTCTCAGACAATATATTTTTCCAATCATGTCGCCGCCGGCGAAGCCGGCCGACCGATCTGCGCGCTCCCTTTCATGAAAACTTCGCCACTGCGGGACCACTTCACACGCGGAACGAGGATCCGATCCGTGACATGTAGCGAGCATAGTGTTCGGCTATTGTGGAACGAAGCGTGTTTTGTCACGAAAAGAATTTTTTCCGATTGTTTGTTTTTCCCATTTCACGCATGTTGTGCCCTCCCCCCTTCCTCCCCTAATAAGTTGACTGTACAGCGAGACTACTTTTTTGATTGATAGGAGGTAACTACCCCTCCACAAACACACCCCTACCCCACCTTTTGGGGAAAAGTAGGTGAGAGGGAAGGTGAGTTGTGAAAGGAGGTCGTGTCGGAGGAGAAAGTCTCAGTTGAGGGTTGCAATTAGCCAAATTTCACTTAAAGGCAAACACCGCGATTGTATATTGTGGACAGTGGCCCTGACTTGCGGACCCATAGTCGCTAAATAATCTCCAGGAAAGGAAAACGCAAAAAAACCCGTGGCGAACACCCTAAGCAAAGACCTGGAAATCTTCTGAACGACTTTTCCGGACCTGCTCATTTTACACCAGCGATGCTATGTCCTGCAAGCTCTAGCTCGTTGGGCGGGACAACTGGGGGAGGCGTCAAAAACTCCACTTTTGAGGGCCATAGCGCCTTTGTCACTTACTGTAAAGTGGCGAAAGTAGGATAATGCTAAAAAGTGAGGGTCAGACTACTTGTACAAGGAAGGACGCCTACGAGCTGCTCGAGCGCGGGAACTGTCTTCAAAAGAATTCTGTGGCTCACCTGGATGTCAAAGTGAATGTAAGGACCTTCTATTAGTTACACTCCTCATCATTACGGACTGTCGGGGCGTATCAGCCAGTAGGAGTGCGCACACTGTTTGAAGCCGTTCTCAGCCTTTTCGTTGAAACGCGTATGCGACAAAAAGTGGTAGAAAACGAGTAATAC